GGTGGAGGTCTTCCAGCAGGTGGAGGTCTTCCAGCAGGTGGAGGTCTTCCAGCAGGTGGAGGTCTTCCAGCAGGTGAAGGTCTTCCAGCAGGTGGAGGTCTTCCAGCAGGTGAAGGTCTTCCAGCAGGTGGAGGTCTTCCAGCAGGTGGAGGTCTTCCAGCAGGTGGAGGTCTTCCAGCAGGTGAAGGTCTTCCAGCAGGTGGAGGTCTTCCAGCAGGTGAAGGTCTTCCAGCAGGTGGAGGTCTTCCAGCAGGTGGAGGTCTTCCAGCAGGTGGAGGTCTTCCAGCAGGTGGAGGTCTTCCAGCAGGTGAAGGTCTTCCAGCAGGTGGAGGTCTTCCAGCAGGTGGAGGTCTTCCAGCAGGTGGAGGTCTTCGTGTAAACATTCTGATCGATCTTGCCACTTTGATTTATTTCTTTTCCCTCATATAATTATGCAGAACTCCGTGTTTACTTGACAGTGTCGTTGTAGTGGAGTCTGTTAATAGCAAATAATACTGTTAATAGCAAATGTTACATTGGTTGTTGTCACCAGAGGCGGCTAGTCTGTTGTGCCCGTCATGCTACAACCTGACCTCCTACAACCTGACCTCCTACAACCTGACCTCCTACAACCTGTCCTCCTTCAACCTGTCCTCCTACAACCTGTCCTCCCACAACCTGTCCTCCCACAACCTGTCCTCCCACAACCTGTCCTCCCACAACCTGTCCTACAACCTGACCTCCCACAACCTGTCCTCCCACAACCTGTCCTCCCACAACCTGTCCTACAACCTGACCTCCTACAACCTGTCCTCCTACAACCTGTCCTCCCACAACCTGTCCTCCTACAACCTGTCCTCCTACAACCTGTCCTCCCACAACCTGTCCTCCCACAACCTGTCCTCCCACAACCTGTCCTCCCACAACCTGTCCTACAACCTGTCCTCCCACAACCTATCCTCTTACAACCTGTCCTCCCACAACCTGTCCTCCCACAACCTGTCCTCCCACAACCTGTCCTCCCACAACCTGTCCTACAACCTGACCTCCTACAACCTGACCTCCTACAACCTGACCTCCTACAACCTGTCCTCCTACAACCTGTCCTCCTACAACCTGACCTCCTACAACCTGTCCTCCTACAACCTGTCCTCCTACAACCTGTCCTCCTACAACCTGTCCTCCCACAACCTGTCCTCCTACAACCTGTCCTCCTACAACCTGTCCTCCTACAACCTGTCCTCCCACAACCTGTCCTCCTACAACCTGTCCTCCCACAACCTGTCCTCCTACAACCTGTCCTCCTACAACCTGTCCTCCTACAACCTGTCCTCCTACAACCTGTCCTCCTACAACCTGTCCTCCTACAACCTGTCCTCCCACAACCTGTCCTAGAAAGAACGTGGCATTTCGCTCGTATGCGTTACATAAGGTCAAAAATTATCGTACTGGAAAATGGAAGCTGCTCGCGAAAGTGACGTACTGTTCCGTTTTCTGTTTTGGGTCCTCTGGTAGGTTAGGAGAGGACACTTTAAATTGACCGTTTTCTTGACGCTGGGACACCTTAGGAGGACGGGCTGCGTGCTCATCCTGTGAGCGGTAGTGCAAAAAAAGGATTACGGTGAGCTCAAACGGTCATAATCAGACATCAGCGGAAATTTTTATATCATTAATTACAGTCACTCTACACACCTTAACATTACAATGACAGCTGGTAATATCTGCAAGTTTTATTTATTAACTATATTATTATACAATGGTAGTAAGATGCTTTGTTAATGATGCTACAGTTTTCATGATGGGGGTTGAAAGGGTTAATAATAGTTACATGCCACTACTCCACCTGTTTAACACATCATTTATAAGAGGAGTGTTGCCCACACAATGGAAACATGCAATAATACGTGGTTTTGACTTTTATATTTTTTTCCGTAACGCATGAGCTGGAACTTATCTTCATTAAATACCATATTATTTTCTGTAGACCATTGAAATACCTGATTTACATCTGATTGTAGGTTTGCTCTGCTCTCTATGTTGTCTACTCTCGTAAAAATTCTAATGTCATCTGCAAAGGATGATACAGTGCTATAGATTGTGTTCTTGTCTATGTCCGATATGAGGATGAGAACAAGTACTGGAGCAAGCACAGTACCCTGGGGGACTGAGCTCTTCACGGTTGATGGTCCGAATTTTATTTTGTTGACTATTACACATTGGGTTCTGTTAGTCAGGAAATTGTAGATCCATCTGCCTATTTTTCCGGTAATTCCTTTTGAACGCATTTTATGTGCAATAACACCATGGTCACATTTATCAAAGGCTTTTGCGAAATCTGTGTAAGTTACATCAGCGTTTTGTTTGTCTTCCATAGCATCTAATGCCATGTCATAGTGGTCCAGCAACTGCGACAGGCAAGAGCGCCCTGTTCTGAACCCATGTTGTCCGGGGTTATGGAGATGCTGTGATTCCATGTATTTTGTGATCTTACTTCTTAGCACTCAAAGATTTTTATGATGTGTATTGTTAGTGCTATCGGTCTGTAATTTTTTGCCTCTGCCTTATTTCCTCCTTTATGGAGTGGTGTTATCTCTGTTATTTTTAGTCAGGGATAACGCCAGTATCTAGACTTTGTCTCCAAAGAATGTGAAGGGCTTGCGATAGTGTTTTTTTTACAGTTCTTGATGAATATAGAGTTCCAGGAATCCGGGCCTGGTGCAGAGTGCATAGGCATACTGTTTATGGCTTCTTCATAATTCAATGGGGATAGGGCGACGTCTGATATATGATTTGATGTTGGTATCATATCCATGAAAAATTCATTTGGGTTATCAATCTTTAGTGTGTTTAGTGGCTCGCTGAAAACAGAGTGGTAATGATTCCTCGGTATTTCGCTCATGTCTTTGTTGTCATCAGTGAACGCAATGATATTGTATGTACCATACAATATGTATGCTGGTACTTATAGTATGGTACATACAATATCTTTTGAAGTACCATACATATTGTATGGTACATACAATATTTCATATTGTACGCTGGTACAACATGGTTGCAGCTGGCAATCCCAGTCATTATGGAGGATGAGGAGGTGGCCGTGGGAGGGAATCAGTAATAGCAACAATTCGCCTTGGATACAAATACCCATGGGGATTCGGGATGGAAACAACAGTTGAGCAGCGGAGTTGCAGAATCTGTAATTGGCGTGAAGGACACCGCCTTGACCACTACCTGAGAGAATGTGAACACCTGAGAGATATTAGAAATATGTGTAGAATAATAAACCCCACATTGTTTGAGTTAGGAAAACACTATTTGTCAAATATAGATACTGTTCTTAAAAGATTTCCCCATTTTGCACCCGCAAGGTAACGTGAGATTTTAAGGGTTGACAAATGTTAATCTTCTTGTTTGAGGAGCTGTTCACTTGAGACAGTTAAGCAAGTCCCAGCTGTGTCTGGGTACAAGTGACAGGATGAACAACCCAGCGGGTTTTCTTCCTATTGGGGAGTGTTGTACATGCTGCTATGGCGGTGTGTCCACTCACAAGATGAGTGGCGCTGCCCAATACTGTCACTATGGCGGTGTGTCCACTCACAGGATGAGTGGCGCTGCCCAATACTGTCACTATGGCGGTGTGTCCACTCACAAGATGAGTGGCGCTGCCCAATACTGTCACTATGGCAGTGTGTCCACTCACAGGATGAGTGGCGCTGCCCAATACTGTCACTATGGCGGTGTGTCCACTCACAGGATGAGTGGCGCTGCCCAATACTGTCACTATGGCGGTGTGTCCACTCACAAGATGAGTGGCGCTGCCCAATACTGTCACTATGGCAGTGCGTCCACTCACAGGATGAGTGGCTCTGCCCAATACTGTCACTATGGCAGTGTGTCCACTCACAGGATGAGTGGCTCTGCCCAATACTGTCACTATGGCAGTCCACTCACAGGATGAGTGGCTCTGCCCAATACTGTCACTATGGCGGTGTGTCCACTCACAGGATGAGTGGCGCTGCCTAATTAACTCGCCCCTCGTTGCACAATAACAAAAATAAAAAATACCTTCCTGGGGGCCATACCTGCGGGTTGTTTACGGTTGTAAAGCTCACAACCTGTACATTCAACGTAATGCATTTTGTCTGCTAGAAGCGAAACATGGATACAGTACAAGTATTTCATATATTTTGTTATTTACAATAAACTAATTTGCCATTCATACAGCGTAAATCTTGTTCTGTCTCTAAATGGCTACATTTTTACAGTGTAGAATGTAATGTCAGTCTACTGGCTTTCTTACTTAAACTTATCATTCACTTCCGTGATCCGGTTTGTAATGCTAGAATGATCTTGTTCTTGTCTTAAATTCGATGTTTTAGTTCTTTTTTGCTGCTGAAAGAGTTATGTTGAGGGCTTCATTCTGTATACTTTGTAGTTTGTGAGGAGGTTTGCGGGGCGCGTGCACCCCACTGGTGCGACTGTCTGTGTTGGAGTGTTATGTGCATCATGTTAAACACCATAAACATAGAAGCTATATTAACATTCCAGGATATGGCACTCAAGGCCCCCGAGGCGACTTTTACATGTTCCTGTGAGTTGATCACGCTCCTCTTTCTCTTGTTAAAGCCCACAGTAACCCCCCTCCCACCCCAAGGTACCCATAGTGGTCAACCCATTCAAGAACTTTACCATTAACAGGCAGTGGTTTTCCCTACTCTTTCGTGGTGATAGGAGTGGGGTTGGTAGTGGTGTTGTAAGGAGTGGGGTTGTGTGTGTGGGGGGGGGGGGAGGCAGGGAATGAGTGGTGTTGGTGGGGGGAGGGGAAGTGATTGTGCCAGTTAAGGTTCATCACAGGCAGCCCTCTGCCCCCCCCCTCCCCTCCCCTGTCACTTACAGCACCCTGCCCTCACCCACCACCCACTGCCAGTCCTCCCCGCCCCTCCACCCACCCACCCACCTGCCATGGGTACTCCTCACACTCCCCCATGACTGTCCTCCCGTCCTGCCCACTTTCAGAGCGGTGTCGCCCAGTTGAGTGTGTCTTGTAGCTGTGTCGAGTGTGTCTTATAGCCCTGTCGGGCGAGCAGTGTATGTCTTACAGACGTGGCCAGTGTGTCTTACAGCCGTGTCGGGCGAGCAGTGTATGTCTTACAGCCGTGTCGGACGAGTAGTGGATGTCTTACAGACGTGGCGAGTGTGTCATATAGCCGTTTCGAGTGCGTACAGTGTCCCAGCATATTGTATAGCTGAGTTAGTGAATCAAGTTGACAGCCCAGGTGTGACCAAGTGACTCTCAAAGCCAGTTCAGTGTGCAATGTGATTTTTATTGCTGAATCTACGAACTGAGTTATCCTTATTAGATCAGTTTAGTTAACGATGCCAGTGATTTGTATCGCAGAATCGACACGCCGAAAAATTATTTTAGCTGTCAGCGTATTGGGTAACCTGTGTAGCTCGGGTGTGGTCATGTGTAGCTCGGGTGTGGACCTGTGTAGCTCGGGTGTGGACCTGTGTACCTCGGGTGTGGACCTGTGTACCTCGGGTGTGGACCTGTGGACCTCGGGTGTGGACCTGTGGACCTCGGGTGTGGTCATGTGTACCTCGGGTGTGGACCTGTGGACCTCGGGTGTGGTCATGTGTACCTCGGGTGTGGACCTGTGTACCTCGGGTGTGGACCTGTGTACCTCGGGTGTGGACCTGTGGACCTCGGGTGTGGTCATGTGTACCTCGGGTGTGGACCTGTGTACCTCGGGTGTGGACCTGTGTACCTCGGGTGTGGACCTGTGACGTGATCTACGATACATAATACTTATTGAGTGTGTCTTATTAATGTGTGTGTACCGACAAGGTCATTCCTGGTGAGGTGCCGGGATCAGTGTGTGTGGAGATGCTGCTGGGGGAGGAGGTGTGTGCACGTAGTCCTGAGGTTCCGGGTTCGATCCCCGGTGGAGGCGGAAACAAATGGGCCGAGTTTCTTTCACCCAGATGCCCCTGTTCACCTAGCAGTAAATAGGTACCTGGGAGTTAGACAGCTGCTACGGGCTGCTTCCTGGGGGTGTGTAACAAAAAGAAGGCCCCGAGGACCGGGCCGCAGGGACGCTAAGCCCCGAAATCATCTCAAGATAACGTACGTAACGGCAGTTGTATAATAGTTTCCACGACCGAGCTTCAGCTTCTGGGTCCCGAATTTCCAATTGTCGGCTCTTCAAATACAATGACGATTGACACCTTTGTTGCTTGTCACTTCTGCTTTTATAACTGAAAGTAGCGAGTAATCTTTCCTTTCTAGACGGGTTTACTTGTATACTGCTGTTAACAGTATCTTCTCACATCCTGTGGACTACCACGGCGTGTCTACCTCCCATACATGTCTACCTCCCATACATGTCTACCTCACATACATGTCTACCTCACATACATGTCTACCTCCCATACATGTCTACCTCCCATACATGTCTACCTCACATACATGTCTACCTCCCATACATGTCTACCTCCCATACATGTCTTAATGCTACTCCTCAGCCCTAACATCCTATTCCATCGACTCTTCTGAGGATTTTATGTTTGGGTCGTGTCCCTTTATTTCTCTTTCCAGTGACGTTAGGTTGAACCCCTTAGATCAGTCTATCCTGATAGTTCGGTCACCGGTCAGTCATGTGGTCGCTGGAGCACCGGTCAGTCATGTGGTCGCTGGAGCACCGGTCAGTCATGTGGTCGCTGGAGCACCGGTCAGTCATGTGGTCGCTGGAGCACCGGTCAGTCATGTGGTCGCTGGAGCACTGGTCAGTCATGTGGTCGCTGGAGCACCGGTCAGTCATGTGGTCGCTGGAGCACCGGTCAGTCATGTGGTCGCTGGAGCACCGGTCAGTCATGTGGTCGCTGGAGCACCGGTCAGTCATGTGGTCGCTGGAGCACCGGTCAGTCATGTGGTCGCTGGAGCACCGGTCAGTCATGTGGTCGCTGGAGCACTGGTCAGTCATGTGGTCGCTGGAGCACCAGTCAGTCATGTGGTCGCTGGAGCACCGGTCAGTCATGTGGTCGCTGGAGCACCGGTCAGTCATGTGGTCGCTGGAGCACCGGTCAGTCATGTAGTCGCTGGAGCACCAGTCAGTCATGTGGTCGCTGGAGCACTGGTCAGTCATGTGGTCGCTGGAGCACCAGTCAGTCATGTGGTCGCTGGAGCACTGGTCAGTCATGTGGTCGCTGGAGCACCGGTCAGTCATGTAGTCGCTGGAGCACCGGTCAGTGATGTGGTCGCTGGAGCACCGGTTAGTCATGTGGTCGCTGGAGCACCGGTCAGTCATGTGGTCGCTGGAGCACTGGTCAGTCATGTGGTCGCTGGAGCACCGGTTAGTCATGTGGTCGCTGGAGCACCGGTTAGTCATGTGGTCGCTGGAGCACCGGTTAGTCATGTGGTCGCTGGAGCACCGGTTAGTCATGTGGTCGCTGGAGCACCGGTTAGTCATGTGGTCGCTGGAGCACCGGTTAGTCATGTGGTCGCTGGAGCACCGGTTAGTCATGTGGTCGCTGGAGCACCGGTTAGTCATGTGGTCGCTGGAGCACCGGTTAGTCATGTGGTCGCTGGAGCACCGGTTAGTCATGTGGTCGCTGGAGCACCGGTTAGTCATGTGGTCGCTGGAGCACCGGTTAGTCATGTGGTCGCTGGAGCACCGGTTAGTCATGTGGTCGCTGGAGCACCGGTTAGTCATGTGGTCGCTGGAGCACTGGTCAGTCATGTGGTCGCTGGAGCACCGGTTAGTCATGTAGTCGCTGGAGCACCGGTTAGTCGTGCACTGAATAAAGCATCCTGAACTCATCCATGTTTGCCAACTATGCATGTGCTTCTTGTGTGAACATTCTGATATGTACCCTTGCAGACAATCTTAATGGCATTATGTGTATTCACAGGTCCTTTCATATTTCCTGTTCCTGGAGCTGCCTTGCCCTCATTGTGTTCTGGTCGTGTTGTCTGCTTGCTTCTTCCTCGTGTGTGTACTCACCTAGTTATGCTTGAGGGGGATAAGCTCTGGCTCTTTGGTCCCACCTCTCAACTGTCAGTCAACTGGTGTACAGATTCCTGAGCCTGAGCCTACTGGGCTCTATCATATCTACATTTGAGACTGTATTCACCTAGTTGAATACAGAATTCAATTTACCGAGTCTAAGATGGAGAACGGCAAACACAAATATCATAGCAGGGAATGACCCGGGAAATAACCAACCACAGGTCAGAGAACTTTTGAGATTCTGTGACAAATTCTAGCTCAATCAACAGATTACAGAACCAACTAGGAACGAAAACACACTAGACTTGTTATTCACAAACAATGATGAACTAATCAGAGACATAACAATCTCAGATACTTCATACTCAGACCATAAGCTCATTGAAGTGCGAACTAGCATAAATAACGGTAGTAGGTCTAAGAGACCCAACAAGCGAGAAGGAATATTCAATCAATTTAATTTCAACAATAAGAGGATTGACTGGGAAAAAATAATTGTAGTCCTTGCAACCATTCAATGGGAGACGGTCTTAAGCGAAAAACTCCCACACAGGGAATAGCTCAACTGACAGCTGAAGCTTACAAGGTCTGCTTGAAGCACGTGCCTATGAGGAGAGGCAGAAAGAGGACCACTCTAGAAAGAGAACGCAGACGACTGTACAGGAGAAGGAAAAAAATAACGGAAATGCTTCAGCAGACACAACTATCACAAGCAAGGAAAATAAGCCTAAGCAGGGAGATCGAAGAAATAGAACAAACGTTGAAGCGATCATATGAGTCTGAGGAAATGGAATTGGAACCGAAAACTATACTAGAGATAAGGAAAAATCCGAAATATTTTTTCATATACGCAAAATCCAAATCCAAAACCTCGACCAGTATTGGACCGTTAATTACAAATGAAGGTACGTACACAGAGGACAACAAAGAGATTAGTGAAATTCTAAGAAGCCAGTATGAGGCTATGTTTAGGACGCCAATAAACAACATGAAAGTTGATGACCCAGACAGCTTCTTTATGAATGACATTCAAGCAGCAGATAATATAACGGATATTACCACAAACTCGGAAGACTTTGAAAGAGAAATTGACAATATGCCTATGCACAGCTCCTGGGCCTGACTCATGGAATTCAATATTCATAAAGAAATGTTAAGTACCAGTAGCGAGAGCACTCAGCGTAATATGGAGAAAGAGCCTGGATACAGGGGAGATACAAGCAGCACTTAAATCTGCAGATATAGCTCCGTTGCACAAGGGGGGGGGGGAGTAAAGCCTTGGCAAAAAATTATAGGCCAGTTGCACTAACAACACTCATATTAAAAGTGTTTGAAAGAGTGATTAGGAATAAAATTTCTAGTTTTATGGAAAACAATGAATTGCACAATCCAGGACAACATGGATTTAGAGCGGGAAGATCCTGTCAATCACAGTTACTCAACCACTATGACAAAATCACAGAAGCCGTAGAAGAAAAGCAAAATGCAGATGTTGTATACACAGACTTAGCAAAGGCGTTCGACAAATGTTACCATGGGGTGATAGCTCACAAAATGAGGCCAATGGGAAAAACTGGAAAAGTAGGACGCTGTATACTCAATTTCCTATCGAACACAACAGAAAGAGTAACAGTCAATCAGATAAAATCGAGTCCAAGCGATGTTAAAAGCTCTGTACCTCAAGGTACAGTCCTTGCACCGCTACTGTTCCTTATTCTCATATCTGATATAGACAAAAATACACGTCACAGCTTCGTGTCGTCCTTTGCAGATGACACAAAAATCAGCATGAAAATTACCTCTGCTGAAGACATTGAAAAACTACAAGCAGATGTCAACAAAGTTTTCGATTGGGCAGCAGAAAATAACATGATGTTTAACAGTGATAAATTTCAGGTACTCAGGTACGGCAAAAATGAGGATCTGAAACATAATACAGAGTACAAAACACAATCGAATCTTCCCATAGTAGAAAAACAGCATGTCAAGGATTTGGGAATAATGATGTCCGACGATCTAACGTTTAGGGAGCATAACCAAGCAAATATCGCGTCAGCCAGAAAAATTATCGGATGGATT